ATATATTGTTATACGAAAGCTCTGTGTCTGTGGTCGCTGTGAGTTTCCATGACGTCACACTCTTCTCTCTCTTTACACAGACATACATACACCCTCTTAAATGTGAGCCACTTCATGAAAAGCCCTTCTGCTACTAATCCAAACCCGAGTCCGCGTCATGGTACCTCCAACGTACCTCCTTCCACACATCCCTCGCCTTTAAATCCCGGCTTCACACAACCCCTACTCTCATCGTCTCCTACCACCCAACCTCGTCTCTCTCCGCCTCTCCCTGCCTCGTTCAACCCCGTCTCGCCCCGCGCCGTTCGAAAGTGACCCGGCTCACCCGCCGCCGGAGCGGAGCGGAGCTGTGCTGCGTGACGTGGAGCATCTTGACCCTGCCCGTCGCGGATCGCCCGGCCTCGGAGATGGCTATCCGCCCGCGATTATATCTTCGCAGCCTGTGCCCTTGTGGATGTAGACGGCTGACAGGAAGCGGAACTGATTTCGCGGCTTTTGTGCGCCCCCGCCCAGAACCGATCGAATGGGAGCCGGTTGATTGGTCACTGCCTCGGCTGACTCCACCTGATCAGCGAGTGAGGAGCGATCCTCTGCATTCTATCGGATGGTTTTTCTATGAACTAACGTTACGCTCTTTAGTGCAGTTCTTCAGTGCTTCAAAATTATGGAAAATTTTACTCGCTAAAAAGAGAGTTAATTTTCATTGTTTATGCAGGTGAAGTTTCTTCCATAAAATATAACTTCTACTGTTCCTTGATTACGAAGGAAACTTTAGTATTTTGGATTTTTAAAACACTGATTATCAACGTAATTTTTTCTAGTTTTTATTGTTATGGCGTTGTCAATATAACAGCAGTTTTCGCAATTTTCTGTTTACTCCTCCCATCATTGTCTATTTACCTTTGATTCAAATTGACGGGGCGACACTTTTAAAGAAAACTGCAACAAAAAATCTGACATATCAAAAGCTGTCGGCAAACGGTTTCACCTGTCATGGTGCTCATATGCGTTATGTCAAGAGTGGCTCTTTCAAACGTAAAATAAAGTTCCGTTTTCAATATGAAAGAATGTAAGCTACCGTTGTCTTATTCGGGTCACTGATGCGTGGAATTCTACAATTAATAACTAGCTAACGGACCACGACAAGGTGTTTGGTTGTTATGCCAATCAATTTTTAAAGAAGCGTATCGACTTCCATCGCGCAGCCTCAGGCAAAGGAATAACTTCGAATAGTCTCGCGAAACATCGTGTCGTGTCGGATCTCGTTAGATTGTTAGTCGATCGCGAATCGAATTTCTTATTCGCCCTTTTTTATTTTCCTCCTAACGCGGCCGTAGTTCCCACCCACCTCCATTTCTCCACCTCCTCCTATTTTCTTATCCCTCCCACGTCCGTAGGCCTCACCCCCTCCCTCCATCCTTCTACTTCTCGATCAGGGGCCCGCCCCGGCGGACCACTCCGACAAAGCGGACATGAAGAACGTTCTGCATTGTCATTGTTCGTAACAATCTTTAAATGATAATAAATCGACTATTAAATAAATTTTGACGTGACAATGTGGAGGTTTGTTCTCTCGTGCCTTGCATTGGATCGTGAGCGCCGCGACTAGATCCGCGAAGCGGCACCGCGCGGCCGAAAGGGAGAGAGCGGGCGGAAGGCAGGAAACCGCGCGCGCCGCGACCTCTCGCCGCACAATGCGCCCCTTCAGGTGGAAGCAATCAATTACTACTTCCCCAGTTTTCAATTCCTCCCCCTTTCGACTTCATCGGTGGAAATGCCCGACTGCGCTGCGGAAGAGCAGCAGGGCCAGGGGAGGTACCGATGGCGAAGAAGCGCAAGTGAAGGTGGTGCTGTTGCAGGTTGCGCTAAAGTGGGAAATCAGAGGGCGAGAAGGATGTCGATGATAAGAAGATTGAGGTAAGGTAATTAAATTAGTGGTGGCGTGTATGGCAGAAGGGGATTTGGGTTGTAGAAAAAGTTTATTTTTATTTAATGGGTAATTATTTCACATAAAGTGCGTAATCTGGTACTAAGTGACTACGATGATGACCTTTAAGCCAATAAAATACTTACATACCAAAATGAACTACGTTTCGACTTTTGATATTCATCCAGATGGTCTCTGAATCTCATCTGAGTCGAGGAAAATAGACTATAGGTACGGATAAGGGAAAAAAACCTGCCATCAGAAGTGAAGGGGAATATGCTAATCTACCAAACTATCTCTAATATATTTATTGATTTCCTGGTGCAGACGACGCGTATTCTTCCAGTATTTGACTTCATTCAGGATCTGCAAGGAAATAGCACCACCGAAGATCGACTGGTAGAATAGAAGTACTGGCTAAGAAGTGTTCAGTATTTCGAAAGTTCGGAATCACTGTTTACCAAAGGAATGAATCAGAAAATTTCGAAATGTGATGTAGGGGTGATTGCCAATGGACACACGTAGTCTAGAAAATTGAAGAAAATTGATTTCAAAGACAGAAATTTATCAATAAATTTAATTCTCTAAATGTCGATAATAAAGATCAAAATTTCGCATTGATCGGCTTAGAAAACATTGGATGGGATTTATAGGCAGAGAACTACCTATAGGGCTGGAAGAACATTCGGAAAGAGAAAGTGCAGAAAGAGAAGAAGTAGAAAGAGCAGAGCGAGAGGGAGGTGGTGGCCAGGGCAATCGGATTCCACCGGCCTCATCGATTGAGCCGGAGATACCGGGGCGTTGTTGGAGGGCGGCGCGGGCCGCCAGCTACGATGGCCCCGCGATAATAACTGGCTTTTCTTTCCTCGAGGACCTCCGCATTTTTTGTTAACCTCCCTTGCGTTTTAAAGGTCGTTTTATTGTTATTCGCGCCTCTCCACCGCGATTTTTATGATTTTTGTGGAAATTCGGAGTTCTTTCCCCGTGTCCGGTCGTTTCCAGAGTAATTAGCACGCGGTACTGCCCCGTCTCTGCCCCTGCCGGCGCTTCATCGGCACGGCCCCGGTTGCCGCCCGGCCCTGCCCCGCTCCGCCCTTCACTACATCCCAACAGGTAGCAGAGCCGAGACGTGGCCGATTGAGAGCACTTGCTTTGGACGTCTTCTTATTCTAATGTAATGGATCATAAACCTGAGAATTACAATTTACTAATAATTAACTTCTTAACTATTTCACTCCAAACTTGAGCGAGTCAAAATCTGTAAGCAAATAGCGATTTGTTATATATAACAATACGTTGACTGTCAAGTCTACATTGTTTGATTTTCTATATAAAATCATGAAACTATCAAGTTTATGCTTCTACAGTACATTTTATAACTTTGGTGTGAATTCGCGAAGTCGCCCTATACAGGAAACGCAAATATTATTATATTGATTTGGAAACCTGGCTGTCTTATTCTTCCTCCTGTCATTGGGTTTTTGTTACCTACTAAAATATGCACACAGATTTTTAACAATCCTGTCAATATGATCAGCCATTATTTATTCGCAAACAATTTTCCGAAATGCTTCTCGGCGAATTCGGCTCGCCGCCGTTACACCAGCTTTCTATTGTACAAAGCATAACGACACGTAAATTTACTATTTAAATATACCAAAACAACATATATTGAAAGAAAACAAATCCAAATAACATTCACTATTTCACACATGTTTAATCTACATTTGATTCACGCAAGCGCATTCTTTTCGAGAATTCAATTGATTCCAATAGAAATTTACTAAATGATACTTAATTAATTATAAGTCTTAAGCTTGTTACAAAATCGTTTGGCAAAATTGCGTCACATCCCTGGATGCTGGACCCCGTAATGGCGCTGTGTCCGACCACTGCGGCCTCTCGTCGCGGTTACCATCTTTCTTTAAAAAAATAACTATTGAACCGCTCGCGAATTAATATACTCCTACTAGGAGCATCATTTTACGAAATACTACCTTCAAAACAAATTTCTACATGAAAATCGAAAGATTCGACTTCCACCATGATGTTATCACACAAGATTGAAAACCAGTCTGTCCATATGCATTGTTGCCCTGTTCTTCTTCACCGCGCAGTTTGAAACAAAGAACAGCTCTTCTCTTCTGTCAAACTATAAATTGTTACATTCCAATTTTTAGATATATTTAAATTTCTTTAATTTCTTCATTGCAATAATTACTGACTAAAATATAAATAATAAATTTAATTACGAGTACCTTTTCCTTTTCCAAATTCCTAATATTGTCTTCTAAACTTTTGTGTAATCACCCATTGCTTATGAAAAAATTCAAATGTCTTTGCCAAACATACATTCATTTAATGAAAGATTTTCGTTATTCTATAATAACCTAGACTTCGAGTGATTGTGTATCTCTTTCCTAAATATTCTTGGTATTTATTTACTCTTCACAGGTCTACAAAAAGCACAGTTACTTGGATTTTTAGAAATAAATAACTTTTTACATTTCCACCTTTGCACCTTTGGCTGTTTGTATCTTCATTAAATATGTCAATTTTAGTTATTTTGGTGCGTTTTTTAATAATCATTGGGCAACGTCCGAATAGACTGTTACACTAAAAATTTCTTCAACCACTGGATCACTACCGAGAGAATTGATACAATCGTGTCACTGTTTCTAATATTTGTGCCACTAGAAATGTTTGTCTGTCAGTATTGAGTATAATCGAGCTAATAAGATTGAATGTCTAATGGACATTGATTTTGAGGAGATACGCCATTTTTATATACATCGAATTTGTAGAAAAGTCTCCTTTTGAAGATATGATTTTCTTTGGTTATTTAAAGTCGCATCAACTTCTAGGTCATGAGCGACCACTATTGCTTGTAACGGTATGGTAACTGAGGATGACACGATATGATGATGATAGAGGTAAAGGACGAATGCAATACAACCATGCGCGAGGCGGGACTTGAACCCGCAATCCTTCGGTCTGAGATCGCTACGGCACTATTGCCAAGTTTAGTTTAATATTCTTGAAAATATTCTTCCCTTTCGTATTTTGAAAGTGCATGGAGATTTTTTCTTACTTTTGTAGCATTTGACTTGGAAGTGATGTTGCGTCACTTTTGGAAGTTAGCTACATTACTGCTACCAGCGTTTCCCTTTCCTTTCGAATTATATGATTAAAAAAATGTAACGTCATGGATACTCACAGTGAACTTAGACACGAGCTTTCATATAACAAATATTTATTCACAGGGAAAACACAACAAATATTTACAATGAATTTACACGTTACACCCTAGCTCTGATAGACCTGCTATTCCCTGATCGCGGGAGCGATCCCAACCCGTTTGATGATCGCTTTCAATTGTGACACTGGCCACTCGTACATCTGAAGCGCGCACACAGCCAAGCTTCCGTGACCGGATGTCACACTAGGACACAATGTCTGAACCAACTGATGGTTCGCCCGGAGGAGCGATTTTACGCGATTGAGGGCGTAGCTTTCAACCACTCCTCACCTCGTGCCAGCCCTTGGCATACCAGCCCTGAGGAAGACCACGACAGGATGGTCGAAACGTCGGCAACTCAGCCTTCGCGGCGTCACCTGGACAGCCCAGATCACCCACATGACTCTGGCCGCGGAAGCCTACGACTTTCGTCACTCCTCACCTCGGAGCACGCATACAGCATCGCTCCCACGTGACCGCAGTCACCCAAGGACACAAAGTCCTGCCCAGGCTCGTCAGCACATGACTTGCCTCGCGAGCCCTGCTCGCCGCTGCCCCATCGTGGCGCAAGTTTTTGTGCAAATGCTCGAGGTTCTCCCACTGTCTCCAGAACACGGGATCTGTGCACTGACAGCTTCCACTTCTTGACTACTGTATACTCACACTGGCGGACTGACTTAGACTGCTGACTGCTACTACTTCCAGCGGCCCCCGGCAGCGGCGAATTTATACCTGGCCGGCACCCATCTCGACACATTCGGCACTTGCTTCATATTTCTAATCGACTAGCAAATAACCCGGAATCGTCCAGTTCGGGGAACGCCGGCAGGTGACGCAATTCGTGCAGCAAATCCCGGCAGATGATGCAATATTCTCATGAAGAATGTGTACATATCGGCCGTCGCTCTCGTTTTAAGATGAGATAAGTCGTAACATAGTAGATGTACCGGAAGGTGTATCTGAAATGGCAAAGTAGACCTTGTTAGTTGAGCAATCCATTTACATTGGAGGGGTGTTGTTGAAATCAAATATTTTGATAATATTAATATTATTGTTTTTATTTAATAGAAATATTTTTTTTGTGTTTTTTAGTATTATTTAGAAATTAATATGATTAATTATAGTTGATTTTTACAATGATGGAATTATGAAAGAATTGAAATTATTATTTTGAGGAAGAAGAGTATTTGTACCTTTTGTATCAGGGTTTATTAAAAATTGTTAATTTATTTTATGTTCTCGAATTAAGAAGAGCTATTTATTTATGATTTATATTGTAGCAATAATATATTGAATAATTAAATAGTAGTGATATGTTATTCGTTTCTTAAGATATCTAGTTTCTTAAGATGAAAATTTAATTTTGGTATTTATTTATGATATTTATACGTNNTAGTTTAAATGTAATTTAGTTGAATATATTATATGAGCTTTTAGTTAGCTATTATTTATGAGTTTGTTTATAATTATTTGGGATGTAATTATTTATAATTATTTATATTAAAGTACATTAAGATAATAAGAATAATATATTTCTTATGTAATAATGATGGAATTAGTAAATGAACTGTTTATGGTGTGTTGTTGATTATTTATATTAAGGAATTAGGGAAAATTCTTGTTCGCCTTTTTATCAAAAACATGTCTTCTTGAATTAATATGAAGTCGAGCCTGCCCACTGAGTTATTAAATGGCCGCAGTATATTGACCGTGCAAAGGTTGCATAATAATTAGTCTTTTAATTGGAGGTTGAATGAATGGTTTGACGAAATAATAACTGTCTCGGGATAATTAATTGAATTTTATTTTTGAGTCAAAAATCTTAAATAATGAGAGGGGACGAGAATACCCTATAGATCTTAATATTGTTATATTAAAATTTATGTTTAGTGGTATTTAATATATTTTAGTATATAATGTTTTGTTGGGGTGACAAGGGAATAATTTAACTTCTTTTTATTTTACTATGATGATTGGTTAATTGATCCTATTATTATGGAATGAAGATAAAGATACCTTAGGGATAACAGCGTAATATTATTGGAGAGTTCATATTGATAATAAGGAGTGCGACCTCGATGTTGGATTAAGAAAATTATTAGGTGTAGGAGCTTAATATATTGGTCTGCTCGACCATTAAATTCTTACATGACCTGAGTTCAAACCGGTGTAAGCCAGGTTGATTTCTATCTTTGTTTAATATATGTATTTTAGTACGAAAGGATTAAATACATTAAATAATTTATTGTTTGGAATTATATTAATTACTATTTTGGCAGAATAAAGTGCAATGAATTTAGAATTCATGAATGTAATAATATTACATATAGTATTGTTTAATTGTGTAATAAGTATACTTTGTTATGTTGTATTAGTAGTTTTTGTATTAATTGGTGTTGCTTTTTTGACTTTATTAGAGCGTAAGGTTTTGGGTTGTATTCAGATTCGAAAGGGGCCAAATAAAGTGGGTGTAATAGGAATTTCTCAGCCTTTTGCTGATGTTATTAAGTTATTTTGTAGGGAGCAGACGTATCCTATGATATCTAATTATTTAATATATTTTTTGTCCAGTGGTTAGATTATTTTTATCTCTTTTGGTATGATTAAATTATCCTTTGGGATATGAATTAATTTTTTTTGATTTGGCATTATTATTTTTTGTTGTTGTACTAGTATAGGTGTATATTCTATAATGTTGGCTGGTTGATCTTCTAATTCTAATTATGCATTATTGGGTGGTTTGCGAGCTGTAGCTCAGACTATTTCTTATGAAGTTAGTATAGCATTAATTTTATTAAGATTTATTATTTTGGTAGGTGGTTTTGGGATTAATTTATTTTATGTTCATCAGTTATATGTTTTTTGTTAATATTCCTTTATTTTTTGTTGATTTTCTTCTTGTTTAGCTGAGACTAATCGTACTCCTTTTGATTTTTCTGAAGGTGTATCTGAATTGGTGTCAGGTTTTAATGTTGAGTATAGAAGAGGTGGCTTTGCATTAATTTTTATAGCTGAATATTCAAAAAAATTATTTATAAGAATATTAAAAAACTATTTTAAATTTTTTTTTTGGTGATTCCTCTTCTCTTTTTTTGTAGTTGTG